AGAGTGTGACGTAAACACACCCACACACATACACACACACACACACACACACACATCTTTCTATAGTTGTGAGGACACTTCATGACATCATGCATTCCCTCACGTCCTACCCACTAAATTACAAGGAATGGAAGCAATGTACCAATTTTATGGACAACCTTGAATTTATTTATTTATTTTTTTTAAATGTACTTGGTCATTTAGTGTATTCTTGCTTATTCTATGTTTGTCTTGTTTTGTGAATATTAAATTTATACTTTAACACCTAACTTAAACCTCTTTCCTGACCCTGAGAGTTGTAAATAACCCCCAACCGTAACCGTAATCCTCAATCTTTACCCCCGTGTCACTGTTGACCACTTTCCTTTGATTGATGATAACTGCAGGGGGAATTTTGTAGCTGTGTACACGTACACCAAGAAGAAATTTGCTACAATAAGGAGTGAGGGAAGTGACAACATTATTATTAAAAGATCTCTCCTGTCGGTGAACTGCAACCCACAATTGTGGCGATTCAAAAACCATCTCCTCTAACAGTAAAGGATAAGGATTTGAACCTTATTTTCCCACGTTTTGGGCTGTAAATGATTGATACTGACAAAAATCTTTGCAATTGGTCCACTGTTGAGCAAGAACAGTTTACCCCGTAACCACTAAATAGCTGCTTCAATGTAAAAAAAAAACGGGGCATTTGATCCACGTCAAAGTCAGTGCACTTAAATGTTTGTTGTTGCCACTGACACGTTCAGATTGTTATTACAAGTGACTGACAACATCATGGAGAGGATTCCTGCAGAGACAGAAACAGACCTTTCCGTTAAAGAATCACATCCTTTTTTGTTTAACCCGAAACAGACGTTTTATCGCTCTGTTCAAAGTCACCAGACTCCATTGACTAAAACAGTGATTTTACCTGGAAGAACACAGGAGTTGCTGGTCTACCGCTGATTAGATCTGTTAGTTACTAAGTATTACTGTGTGACTTTCAGTGGTGAATGACGTTTTCAGCAAATATGTCAAGTAAATATATTTGTCTCCTGAACAAAAAAAAGAGTAAATATCATCAAGTCTATTCCAGTAGAAATGCATGACTCTTAGTTATGATTTTAGTACCTAAACCTGATTCTAACTTATAACCTTAAACCAAGTCTTAACCTTCAAACAGGCCTTTGAAGTTGTGAGGACCAAAACGTCCTCACAACGATGGTTTCAAACCAAAGTTTGTCCACACGACAGAATTACATGTACACACACACACACACAAGCAGCTACTTTACTTCGAGTGTGTGTGTCTATATTTAAACAGTATGTTGGTGACATGTACATGTGTTTATGCTTATGTGTCCATGGATATGGATGTGTAAGTATTTATGTAACTCGGGTGTGTGTCTGTGTAACTGTCTGAGTGTCTGCTCGAGGGAGGCTTCTGAATTTGACCCGTTTGACCGCTACCTAAACTCGTGTAAACAAAGCTCCTCTTTAGTGGTGCAAATGTGACGGTGCAGTGAGTCACAGCCTCTGATCTTCCATGTAAACAGTGAATTGTTGAGCGCTACGTCTGCCAAGGAGAAAAACTCTGCAGAACCAAACCAGCCGGACGAACCCCAAAGCTTTTTTTTTTTTTTTTGGCATCTTCTTCAATGAATTTCCTTTTGATTAAGTTTGAGTTTCTGTCTGTTCTTTCATTGTCTATTCAAACATTAAAACTATCAAGTTTTTCTCCAGCTTACAGTTCATGTTAATTCATGAGGTGGGAAGTTATCCATAAGAAACGAGTCAATCATGATAGCGTGTAATGTATCGTATGTTACTGTACCCGTGTGCTTCATACTGACACCACAAAAGTGTCTAAAAACACACAGTCTTGTAAAAAGTAATAAAAGTTCACTGTTGACTGTGTGATCACCAGTGTTCATTTAACACCACACCAGAAACTAGTGGTATAACAAAAATACCACAACTTCCAGGTAAGACCACTGACTGTTTTTCCAAAGCAGGGACGTTGTGGTTGCCCTTGGAAACCGGGGAGGTCTGCCCCAATTACAGAAAACAGGTTTCTCATACGTGTGATGGTTATTTTTTTACATACAATAATGTTTATTTACATTAAGTGCATGTAAACACAGTGAATGTGCTGTGAATGAATCTGCTGCAGCTGCAAGAAATATGGAATACAGACTTCAGACAATCTACATGTTCCATACAGTTGAATGAAAACACGGTGGAAAAGTGTAGATTAAAACAAGAAATGAAAGCATCACGTGTTGAATATATAGACATGGACATATTGAAGCAAAAAAAAACCCAAAAATGTGTAGGTCAAAACATGAAATGTAAGTCATATAAAAAATAGGAAGCTGACAAGAATTTACAGGAAACATATTGTGTGCGTTGTGCAAAAAGTGCATCATGTTTGCATTAACAGTTGTGGAGGTCATGTACAGTATATTACAGATAAGAATGCACTGTGGTAAAAGGCATTACACTTCTGCATAGACGCATCGTGAATCATGGGAAAGCAGTGGTCAGTTTGATTCAGGGCTCGGAGTAAATGGATGGTGTTCCACTCGCCTGAGAATGCGGCTCACATCTTGAAATCATAAATTCACAATCCATACTGGTACTTCTCGAAAAAGTTAGCGAGCGCTCATCTGTGATGGATGGCGGTTTCAGTGAACGTATGGTGCAGTTTTGGAGGAAAGAAATGACATTTTTCTGGTGCTTAGCCAGCTTCTGCGACTGTGTAGACGGCTTTGAAAATAACTGCAGACACCGGCCATGTTCTGCTAATATAACCTGAAGCTTTTCGTTTGACATTTGACTACCTCGTCATTCGACAAATAAAACTGCTGTTTAGTGGCGGCATCACTTATATTTGAAACATAAAATACAATAATATAATATATATTACAAAAAAAACCCCAAAAACCTGAGATATAAAATACAACAATATATTTATATATATATATTTTTTTTTAAATGCGATATCACAATATTTGGGCTCGACTGTATTGAGATATTAAATTTTGGAAATCACCCAAGCTTACTCTGGATTAGAAATTTTACAAAAAGATGAAACTGCCCCAGTAAAGCCACACTGACACCACTCACGCTTGGAGCAGTTTGTTCATACTTGGCTGCATTTCTTTTTTCCTTTAGGGTGTTGTTAGATTTGGTGCGTGATCCATTCAGAGGAGTCATTATTGTAGGTTTGGTTACACACACAAGAATCCTTTTTAAACATGGATTGATGATTCATGATTGATGAAACGCACGTCCATGCCAACACCGTATTCCATCTACATCATACCCATGAAACATGGAATTTATTTAAACAAAGAAGATGATTGTCATTATGTTAACACTCGATGCTTTGCCGATGCAACTAAAACCAATCACGCCTGGAAACATGACCAACAGTACCAGCAAGTGAGGCACACTTCCAGTGTGAGAGGATAATATATTTCAATAATTGTCCAAATCTTTTTTCACTATCCAGTGTGAACCAATTCAAGCTCACTGCAAAGAACTGCAATGTGAACTCCAGCTTTAGGTTGAACCTTGTCCAATTTTTTTTGAGTTTGCCGAAGTCTGTAAGTTTGAAAACGTCTTTAATTTAGTTGTTTTGCTGAAGAAGGAAAAAAAGAGGTCCTTCAGACCATAGAAAACAACCTGCAGGTGTTCATCAGCCAGAGTCAGGACTCCCACTCCACATGTAAACCAACAGGCAGTGCAAGGCACCAACACCGCCAGGGTTAGAGGTTTCCCTCCCAATGGGGCCACAGACGGAGCCACAGTGTGTTATCATGGTACTATAAGGAGCATATGATAAAAACCTCCCCTAACTGGTCTGCATTACACACTCTGTAAATTTACTCCACGTCTCCATGCACACAAAAAGGTGGAGAGAGTCAAACGGAGGAAACTGCGGAGTTGTGTAACAGCTCAACGCGAATGGTTAACATTGTGTTACAGGATGGGTGATGTTCTTTTAACGAGCCGACAGCAGATATCAGTGTTTGGGGTTGCGAGGTTGTGTGTGCGTAGAGTCTGGGTGATTCAGATCAAACGCACCGCCGTCTGGTCGAGGTGACCGAATCTCCCCCAACAGCCAGACGACAGAGCACACAGAAGAAAGACTGATAAGAGCTGAACAAATACATCCACACTCACACCTCTCACTCACTTAGTCAGCCGCTGCCAGTGTGTGTGTGTGTGTGTGTGTGTGTGTGTGTGTGTGTGTGTGTGTGTGTTCAGAATGTGGAGGAGGATGTGATGAAGGAGAGAAGAAAAGCTGAAAAAATGAGTGTTGCGTATATGGGTGTGTGTGTCTGTGTGATTGAGAGAGTGAGTGAAAGAGAAAGGCTGGAAAAACAAAAGTGATTGTTGACATGAGATGATGAAAGATCTTACACAACACCAGCTGCATAAAAAAGCTCAGTGCTGCATTACCTTAAAATAAACTTGAGTTAGTTTAGTGATTCATCCTTGTATTTTTCTGTTTTGAACAGGCCGTCTTAACTACAGAAACACTGGCTACTGATTTTCTTTGAAACATCATTTTGCCTTCATGTCTTTCTCTTTCAACAATCACTTTCTCACTAGACTATCAAATTGCCTTCTTTGCTATGAAACGTTGGGCCTTATTTTCCTTGAATCTTAACACCTTTCATTCATAAAAGTGTAATAATCTAATTTAATAATCTTCATGTTGCACAAAATCCTCAGTAGAGACAGAAATATCTGAGACAGTTTTCTCAAAACCTGAGCAAATACACCAGATATCATCTTAAATAAAGAAAGTATGTTTTGCTAATCTGGGTAAACTGTGGTTGAACTGACCCTTTAGTCAGTCATCCACTAAAATAGCAACTAAATATTGTTAATAATAGTTTCTACTTTCATTCAACTCTTGAGAAATTTGCAAAAGTTGAGCACACACACACACACACACACACACACACACACAGACACACAAAGAAAATCTGCGATAGACTGACCCATGGGCTCGAGGGCAAACTGGTCCTGAGTGACGGCCAGAGGAGGCTGGACGCCGACTGTCATCTTAGAGGCCTGCATAACACAACTGGCCTTCACCTTCACCTGGAGAGAGACAACGATGATGAGGTGAGACGGGGAGAAGGGGTGCGAGACAAGAGGGACAGAGAGGACAAATTCTGGTCTTGATGTATGTTATGTCATCAGTACAGCTCACCTGTATGGTCACTGAAGGGACGGGCAGACCACCGGCATCCTGGATCAGAGCTTGCTGTAGCCAGAGACAAAGAGAGTGAGGGATCTACTGTATCTACTGTGTGTGTTCATATGGTAGAAAATGTGTGTGATTGTGTGTTTACCGATGGGCTGTCCATGCTGGAGGACACAGCAGCTGTAACAATCAGGTCCTCCTCAGCATCAGTCTTAGGGAGGATATCTGAAACAACAACAAGGGAGTTTTATCCCAAATTACTGAAATATTTCACAAATACAGGTGATTAGATACTTTTAAACAAACATCTTAAGATGGTTTGTAATTTGTTAAGTCTGAAAACATTAATTGGATTGATAGAGGATGAATCAATTACAACTAAGTAGCAAAAATCCCTCAAATTTTCCGATTAGAGCTACTCAGATATTAAGTTTTACTGATTTTGAATCCGGCTGTTTGTCAGACTTTAAGAGTTCATTCAAAAAGTAAATGAGGTAAACATGTGACTTTAACTGCGACTTCATTGCTATCAGTTGTTAGGGTCTCCGTTTGGGCTCCCACCTTGAGTCCTGGTGACCTCTCTGATGAATTTCTGCAGCTTCTTCATCTCAGCGTCCACCTGCTCATAGTCGGCCTCCCTGGCGTCCACCTTGGGCGTGGAGAAGAAGGAGGGGTCTGTGCCCATGTACGAGCACAGGAGGTGACCGTCCGAACTCAGACTGACCACCACTCCCCTCAGCTCCCTGGAGAGGAGAGGAGAGGAGAGGAGAGGAGAGGAGAGGAGAGGAGAGGAGAGGAGAAGAGAGGAGAGGAGTTCATCATCAGTATTTGTTGCTTTACAGTTTGTTTAAAACTTTGAGGGAAACAAAATACAAAGTTCAGTGTCAGTTTGTGATTTGGACACGAGATGGAAAGAGGGAGAAGACAAGAAAACGCTGAGTGATGCAATAAAGTATTTTAACTGTGTGTGTGTGTGTGTGTGTGTGTGTGTGTGTGTGTGTGTGTGTGTGTGTGTATTAACTGGTTGCAGATGTGTTGTAGTTCTAGTCCAGTGAGGAGGAGACGGCAACACACACACACACACACACACACACACACACACACACACACACACACACACACACACACACACACACACACACACAGGTTCAGGTCTAGAGCAGCAGCCGACTCCACACCACCTGCACAGGAGGGCGTCTGAGGGGGCATAAAACTTTCACTTTAACTGCAGCGGAAACACACACACGCACGTACCCTCGCACACACACACGCATGCACACACACACGCACACACGCACGCACACACACACGCACGCACACACACACGCAGAAAAACAGTTGATCATAAATAGACAAGAGGAAACACGGCAGCTGCTGTTAGGGATGTGAGCTGTGGTTATATACTATATAACACTAAAGACTACAGTATATAACACCTATTATAGCGATTTATGTGGGGAATGTAAAGTAAATATAACTGCAGGTCGATCGGAAAGTCGAATCCAAAACCTGTTGTTTCCATTCCTTCCCTATGGCTCAACTTCATTTCTGATGAGGTGTAATACTCCCTAGGCCCTTTCACATCTTTTGGGAACATTCATTTATGCATTTCAGGTTCTGATTTTCCACAGGTCTGTTTCAGACTGGGTCCAAATTTGGACTTGTGAAGACCTCTATCTGCTGAAGACTAGAAGAAGATTAGAAGCCCAAAAACAGTCTGACTCATTTAATCCGGGCTTTGTAGAATCCAGTAATAAAATTCAATACCGTCTCAAAAATATCAAAGCAAAGACTCCCAGAGCACTGCTGTAAATTACTGATAGCCACAGTAAGCTGTAGCAAGTATCTGTGTGTATTTGTTTTGTGTGTAGTGGTGTGTGAGTGTGTGTGTTCCTCTCCCACACTCTGTGCAGTGTCCTGCCAACACACTGAACAACATGATGACTATCAAGTGCTTTAAAATAACAAAGCCTCAAACTAAACCAAACAGCTATCCAGACACACACTATCTCCTGCATCTAAAACACACACACACACACACACACATAGACACAGAGAAACCACATCATTTTTCAGCCATGTTTGTGTTTTGCATTGTAATTGTATCAAATTGCGGTTTGATTGGAGTTGTTTGGAAAAAGCTGATTTATTGGCTACAGCTGGCCCCTCCCCGCTCTGCTCCGATTGGCCAGCTGGAAGACATTGTCGGGTAATTTCCCGTGAAAAGTAGCACACTGGATTTCCCAAGCTGATAAAGACAACGGCGTACCTGCTCTGTGTGAGTGTGCGTGTTTGTACATCTGACACACAGCAGCATTGTCTACTAGGTTTGTATCTTGTCCTTCTTTCAAGTAGCAGTGATGAGTCCTCTACTGTTTCTCCTGTCGGAGACCCCTCAGCGTTTCCTCTGATACGCGTCTGTAATCTGTGTTTTTTTTTTGGTCGAGGGTTGTACGTACTGGAAGTTGGAGATGCGAACGGCCACAGGCACAAAGGGGAGCTGGGCCGCCCATTTCAGAGTCACATCCTGGTAGACCTGCAGCATGTTGGTGTGGTTACCTACCAACAGGTTGGTGGTGCCATCCGTCACTGGAGGGGAACAAAAATAAAATGAATTGTTAGATTGCAGAAGAACGGTGCTCTTGTTAAACTAATTTCAAATGTACAAAAACGGCTCCAGGACAAAGGTCATGCTCTCGTTATTAAAACCAAAGAATGAATTGAGGAAGAGACTTAGTAAAATATGTGATAGAAAACTGTGGAGTGAAGAGTGAAGCAGACTGTTTTTTTATCTCCTTCCTTCCTGGTTGATTAATGTCTGGATTCAACCTTAGTAGAGCTGGAACACATATATCACAATCACACCTTATATTCTTGTACTAGCGCATTTGAAATTTCACGGCTTTCTCATAGAATTTATCAAACTCAGGACTGGACAAGTCTTCTCAGGAGATCTTGACCTCAGCGAGACTTTGTGAATGAATAAATCTTCCCCACTTTAAACACTGAGCTTGACATAGATTACCATAGTGTTGGTGTGCCATTCAGTGCTTCATACAGTGAGAAACATCCTTTCCTTTCACTTACATTTGGCATGTAAGTGTGTAAATATGCATGTGGATTTGCATATGTCATCTGCACTTATTGGTTTATGTTATCAGTCCCAGGTAGAAGGTTTAAACAAGCCATGTAGTATATATTGTATACCACTGCTATGCCACATCTCGTTTCATCTTCACTCATAAAATAAGATTTCTTTGTGAGTTCAAACCCCCCAAATAAGGTTTAAAATCTGCTACATACTTGTTAGCAGGACTTATGTCATACAAACGTTACTGTGCTGTGATTAAACTTACAGCAGCACAAATTCAAAGGGTCTGTCTATGATTTTTAGAAAACTGTGGCGCGTATTCACAAATCCAACGACCATGCAGCACAGAAGTAACAGATTCCTGAGGTGGGTGGCACTGCTCTTTAGAAATGAGTGAAACTTGTGCTCTCCCATAAAGAAAAATTATCTCTTTACATCTCACATCTGGTTTGAATACAGACTTTTGTCATCTCGATCTTTCATTTTAAGACACGCTCATTTTTCGTAGGTGTATAACTGAAGTCACATATACACTTTCTCCTGTGACTCATGGCCTGAAACATTAAATATAAATACTACTTATGTTTTGCTACTTATGTTTCACACAGTCGCACATGTCCAGTTGATCCCACCAATGGTGCGGTTACCACCTAGCGAGATCTGAGGTGACGGCCACACGCAAAACAAACACGCCTCGCTCACGCTCACACACGCTCACACACGCTCACACACGCTCACACACGCACACACTCACACAGTTGAATACACAAGTTATAATATAGTAACAGCGGACAGCAGGGTGGTACAGCGCAGGGGTCAAAATGACAGAGTGTGTGTCGGTGCCACATCAAAGCAAACACACACCTTCTATCTCAGCATCAGCATTATAATTACAACCTAATTATAAAGGTCGAATCTAGCATCTCCAAAACGTTAGCTCCTTTTTTTTTTTTTTTTTTTAACATCCTTTCCTCTGTCCTTCCTCTTCTTATATCGACATATCCTTCTTTCTTTTCTCCTCTTTTCACCTCCTCTGGTCCTTTCAGATTCCTCACCTTCCTGCTCTTCCTCTCCTTTTTTTATGCTCCTGTCTGTTCTCACCTCCTTTCTCTAACGCTCTCTTTTATCCTGTCTATTTTTCTACCACACCCCCTAGGTTACATACTACTAAAACCCCAACGTCCCCACTTTGATTGCAGCCGGGGACAGTTGTTATCCCCCCACTCCGAACTCTCTCTCTCTCTCTCCACGTGTTCCCTGTGTGCCTCCCAACTGCCGCCCAAAAAATAAATAATCTCATAAAATGATTGAGTAGAGCGAGATCTGTCATCTCACTCCTTTGGAAATGTTTACTCACTCTTGAGTGATTCCGCCTACTACATGTTGTCTTTGTGGTTACGATTTGACATTACAAAAGATAACAATTATAAACTGTTATGTAGAGACGAGTGACAAATCAGGGGAAAAACAGACAAGTCTCTGGAAGGATCACAAATGAAAAGGGAGGTGAGTGTTGTGTAACACGTCACTGCACATCACTCAAACCAGCTATAATGTGAATGAATCCATCAGTTGTTTGTCATGTTTCTAGACGTTTGGATCATATAATTTTATTTCTAAAGGAAGTGATTTTCGCATCTTATTGTGGCTTGAAGGACGGAGCTGAACTTTGTCTAGTGGAGTGTTTGGGACGAGCAGTCGAGCCAATGAAGTTATTTGAGAGAGAGAGAGAGAGAGAGAGAGAGAGGAATGGACAGACAGAGGGAGGCAGACAGGGAGCCTGAGGGCAGTGATCCAGCAGAGGCAGCTGTGAGGCTGAAGGCCAGGAGGAAAGCGTTAGGAAACACTCAAGAGATCACTGCTGTCCCTCCTCTCCTGCACCGCTCTCGCAACTACGACGGTCCTATGGAGATCCACGAAATGCTTCTTTGGCTTTGCGCCTTAAAAAAAAGAAACCCTCACTGAACGGTGGGTGGCAGCTGCGACAGTCACTTAAGTCACCAAATGTTGGCCTTGTCACCGTAAACTGAAGTACGGACAGGGAAGATTGCGGCAGCAGCAGCCGGGTCCCAGGAGTATGTCTGACTTCCAACCATGTGGGATGTTTTATGCGGTTTTGATTGTTGACAGGAATCATGTCCCAATAAAAGCTTCTTTTGTTGCGCTGGCACATCATGTATTGAATTTATAGCCAATTTCCAAGAGTAATTTAAATAATCTAAATAATGTCTGGAACAGATAGTGGCGGGCACTTTGAAAGCCGAGATATTTTAATTCTAAAATTGAAAACAGATATCGGTAGAAAGCTCTTGGCCATTTTTACGACCCCTCCATCAATCCTCCCTCTCTGGATCCCTCCCCCAGTCTATTTTTTGCTTCCCTCACATCCTTTTCAATTTTCTCTTTCCGTCCGTCAGCTCTCTAGTGTATTTTAGATCAAGTGTAATACTCTCAACAAAAATGGTTCTATGGTACATTGATGCATAAACTGAAACAGACAGAAAATTTCTTGTTGCTCGTAAAAAAAGGTTGTTTATCGCTCCATGCTCGAAAGGGTTATACACACAGTCTTTACTCTGCTGTATTTAAGCACTATTCTGGAGGGTCCAACCATGTCTGGATAATAAGTGTTGCTTCTGATGATAACAATCAGGCTGGAGTCAATAACCATGACATAAATGTTATACAATTTTACTACTTTAATTTCTAACAAAAAATAAGGTTTTTGTTTCTGGCTGTCAGGGTAAATTACATGAACAGAAACAAAGAATGTTTTAGGGGAAAAAGCTGCTGTATTGCAGCTCCATGTTCTCTTTTTCTAATCCCAAACATGTGTTAATAAAGATACCATAAAACTTTCCAAGTCGAGATGAGAAGATTTTCAGGATCCAGACAGGTCTCAAGTTAACAAATGAGAGATTCTCTGAGTCATTTTAGTTCTGTTTGAAACCGCAACATCAACCAGAGCAGCTAAAATAAGTCTGATATAATCATGCAAATTACAAAACATCAGCAGGTGGCTCTTTCCTGCTCTGTGTAGGGCTAAAATGAATAAACTTGCAAGTGTGCATGCACTTTTTTGTGTTTGCCTTCATGTCTCCTGTTCTAAATGGCCACAATCAAGCTGCAATTTGATACGAATGTAGTGCTAATCACTAATTAGTGAATAATGAGACTGAATGTGGGAGTGGAGAGAATTCATCCATACTGTCTGTCAGGTACAAAGCTGGGTTTTTAACCTTTCAGTGAAGGTGACACTGACTTCCACATTCAGAAGACCAGTATGTTACACTTCCCGCCTCATTCCTCTTCAACTCTAACAGCGGGAGAGGCGTGGAAGGTGGAGATCATTTCAAGATCTGTAGCCAGAGTGGGATTAGTGCAACACACACAGAAACCTCTTGCATGATCAAGTCTGGAACCCATTACATTTTGCAACACAGCACACACGCACGAACGCACACCTGTGGGGTTTTGTATTATATCCTGCATATTCATTATTACCTAATTCATCGATACGATCTTGTAACTGTTTTGTGTTAGCATTAAAATGACCTCAAACCGACACTTTTGGTCAAACTACCTAGTTAAAAATCTAAAAAAAATAACTGCAGAAACTACTGCAGAAGCTTTTTATTTCCTACATTGCTTTGTCTTTGCTTCAGTTTGAACTTTGATGCATCTAATCCACAGATGTACATCTGCAAAATGTTACTTTTCATGAGATGTTTTTTAGATAATAAAAAGGGTTCTAGATTTTTTGGGGGGATTTTTCAGTCTTTACCATAAAGGATCATTTAATCCATCAGTTTCTTTGAAAATCTAAAAATCACCAAATATGGAGATACACAATATTATATGTACTGCATCTGCACATATATCGTATACGTTTATATGTCTGCCTTTATTATGTTATGCATTCATCTTGCACCATGTGTTTATGTACTACAGATTGTTCAGTAGTCTGTTCACTTGTGTTTTAATGTGTGTAGCAGGGCTACTCCAGTTATTCCATCATGTTCTGCCAAAGGCAGCTTCCTGTTGAGCCAGTCATGTGGCACTGGGCCACGGCACAGAGCGCTTTGTTTTTGTGTATTTTGTTCGCTTACTTTCAGACGTTTGGTTGTGGCAGGTGCACTGATGCATGGTGAGTTTTGTGTTGCTGCCCTGCACTTTAGTCCAGGATGAACAAATCAGAGCTTTACCAGTGCTGCAATGGCTAAATTTGACACTGACTCCTGCACACGCTGTGCTCAGTTCTCTGAAAGACAACGTCACACGTCCACATCCTTCAAAAACAACAACAACTTTTATTGTTTTCAGTTCTATCACTGCCAATTACTGATTAACTGCGAGCGCTCTACCTGAGGATGATTTAACATGCCCTGTGACCTTTGAACTCCTGCTCTCTGTGAATAGTGATGCCAACACCTGACCTATGTGTTTCTATAGGAATGAACCGCCTCCAATCTGACCACTGCCTTTAAGATCTAATCTAATTGGTACTCACAAGCATTCATTTAGCAAGAAAACACGTTGTTTCTGCTTCCCATTGTCCCTTCACATTTCCCGTAGGTTATTTTTACACAGCTGATCCAGTTAAGTGCACACACTTTGATGTTAGCCCTTTCTAGATATATCTGTTTCCACTAATCCTCCAGTCAGTATTAAGTCTTTAACTGGATCAGGTGGGCAGAAGTAGAGCTAAAAAGAAAATCTTGTAGGATAAGAGGAACATAAGGACTGTAAAGGTGAAATATCTCTTTATAGTTAGCCATTCGTCCAGCGTCCTGGTTTACCTGAGGTGTAGGGGAGGAAGCAGCTGGGGTTATACTCCAGCTTCTTCATGAAGCGGATCTGACCGTTGTCACGGAGACAGTAGAGGTTCCTCTCACCCAGGACGAAGACGGAGGCGGAGGAGTGGGAGAAGGAGGGCACAGAGAGGTCCAGGGCCTGTTCTCCCAGGACAAACGTCCAGTCAGGCTGAAGGAGAACACACACACACACACACACACACACACACACACACACACACACACACACACACACACACACACACACACACACACACACATCCTTTTTACACCACACTACCCTCATTTCTTTAGTTTCAAAAGAATAAGCATGACGCACACTATGAGTGACACATACACTGTCTGTACACCCTTCTTAAAATGTTTATGCAGTCTCCGAAATCCATCTCTTTTCTGAGGTGTTCAGGTCAGAAATCTGGACAAATGCATTTTAAGCTCTTTGAATATGGTCATGTAGTCTGTGTATATTGGCATCTGTGGCTCCTGTGTTTTTGTGCTGCTGTGAGAAAACTCAGATATTTGTGTATTCTGAGGTTTTATACAGGACAATGATCCAAACACAGCTCGTGTCCAACTGTCCAACAATATCTGTGGGAACAAATTGTTATGACATTTTGACTGAATGAAATTTAACACATTTTCCAGCATTAAAAACTCCTACAAAGATCAATAAGATTTATGTTTATGGGTAAATGACACATGCTGATCATGCTCCTTTACATTCTTGATTCTACTGCCATTTTTTTGTACATCACTACTCTTTTTAATCTTTGGCACCAGTGGAATTTGAATATTTTGTTCAACTAAGTACTTATATATACACAAATGACAATTTATTTGAATTCAAATTGTCCGTCATTAACTGTACCCACATACAACCAATAATTTGAACAAATTTCTCTATTGTTTACTGGAGAAAAACAAAGTTCCAGGGATTTCTGGCTGAATCTCCTTTCATGACAGAAAACGAAAACACAATCTCATTGTACACACACTGTCAGTTTTAAGTGCATCTCTGGTAGGTGCTGCGTTTTGGGACTCACCGTCAGCCTCTTGCCTCCAGTCTTGAGCGGCAGGTCCGGATCCTGTCGACTCTCTGCTTCTGTAGCCACGGACAGAGTCTCATACCTGAGAGTAAGAGAGACACAAACACCTGCTTACACAAACCTAACCATGTCTGTGGATCACATTCACATTCCTGTTGAAGTAGTGTCTGTGTGCCCCCTGTTTAATATGCCGTATGCTGTTTTGTGGGCTGCTATTGCACACACGCCAAGTTATTTCAGATGTATAATTGTACCAGATCTACACACATTCGTAAATTCATAGATTTGAGTTTTGTCAACTTTATAACTTTGTTTCCTGTACGTTTAAAACTTTGTTCAGTTTCTACATTGGCTGATCTTTCAGACAGAAAAACAAGCTATTAGTCACTTTAGTTTTTAATCCGTAGGTCTGCGTTGGCTGCTGGCGGAGCTGGAAGTAAAATGCCTTGCTCATGGACACTTTGCACTGCGCAGAGAGCATTTCTCATTTAAGTATTCCCATCAGATATTCCCCAGCCAGTCTAAAAACTCAAATTATCGACTCTCTGGTTACAGATTTTGCTTCTTTAACCACCAGCCCAAGACCACAACAACACTGGTAATTTTCCTGAGAGTAATTCCGTCTGTAAGGCCAAGGCAGAAATCCTAGGACACATCATTTATTCACATTTAAATCCAGTCGAACACTGTGGAACATGTTCATTATTAACTATATCCACAGGTAGCGTCTTATATTCTCCTTCTCCTTTACAGCTTCTGTCAGGTCAGTCAACACGCTGCTGACCCGCTGTTCCCCGGAACTGTGGTCTATCAGTTTTAATCAGCGAGCTGTTGGCAACTGGCTGAGGATAAAGTAGTCAGACTGATCTGTGGTCAGTTGATTTTGGCATCTTCAGCGTCAGGAGTTTTCCAGTAAGAAGCTGGCAGTCAAAGCAGCTTGGCGGGAATCTATCCTTCTCCTCTCTAACACCTGGATGAACGGACAGCTCCAAACCCGACTGAGTGCGACTCAGAACCGCAGACCAAACACTAAATAACTGCTGATTTATCCACTCACAGTTTTCTCACTCAGTAACGTACATTGAACCACAAACCTCCTGTTAATCAAAGCTGTCAGGTCTCAAATCTACCTTAAGTCATAAGGCCCATAATCCAATATGGCTGCCACGTTATGGGCTAGTGATTCATACGCTACATACATCTTTACACCAGGAAGACATTGATCTCTCAAAACTTATATGACATGAGAAAACTAATCAGACAAACTGACACCATAAAGCATCAAGTGTTTACTGCCATCATTCCACAAAGGATTATAGAAACGTTTATGCTAATTTTATTAAAAAATGTTAGCACGCTAGCACGCTAAATTAATCAATCAAACTTTATCTGTATAGCACTTTTCATACAGGTTAGTGCAGTTCAAAGTTCTTCACAGATGACTGATGAGCCAATAAGAAAAAGGAGACATAAAATAGGAAAGCTGACAAAAAATAAAAGATTTAAAAGGCTATAACATTAGCAAACAAAAAAAACAAAGGAAATGAATAATAAAATATTTGTATATATATACATATATATATATATATGCTGTATATATATGAGTTTATTGTTTAAATTTCAACACTTCCAGCAGCTGTTGAACATTGAAAAAAGCATGAGCATGTTAGCATTATGAGCATGTTAGCATGCTGATGTTACTCCTAGTTTTGTCATGGCTCCAGTGTGAACTACATATTTACTCAAAACCTGTTTAGAATTAGTACGTGTTACAGACACAGTTTTAGTTTACATTATAAGCTGTGGAACATCGCATTACTAATCATATTTTATACAAAAGCAAAAGAAAGTGCTGTCATTTCCGCTGCAGCTCTGTGTGAGTACTTTAAACATATTCTATTTCATTTTGAATTTACTTTTTACACAGAGGAGGAAATTGTCACATCATTGCCCATCCAATTACCTGAACAACATTTTTATATACAGTTTTATACCTACCTGGATAAAATGGGTTACCATATGCAACCATAAAAGTGAGGCTAATTCCTCACAACACTGTATATGAAACAGCAAATGAAGTGTTCTAAACTTTTGGTTTTTGAACTCATCCGTACAGTAGCAGTACCTACTGAGCTTCTATGAGAAACGGCGAAGCTGACTAACGAGCTGCTTTATGGATGACTGCCAGTATAGAAACCTTTTCATCACGCCGTGACCATTTCCTGGGAAAGAAAATGGACTAAAAAATATATTAAACATGTCAGGGGTTTTAAGCTATTAAAGCAGTACTCAACGGATCGACAGGCCAACTCCTGGAAGGGTGAATGGATTAAATTCAGCCTAATAATACTAAAATAACACTATAAAATAACTGTATTCTTTCACTCTGTTTTGATATTTCAATTCCACCCTTCACTTAGATGTTTTACTAATGATGGGATATGAGGCAGCGCGAATGAATTAAAACTGTACATGCATCTATGTGTGTGTTGAACTCAAACTTTCAGAGCTTGAGTTGGATGTTGATTTAAGTGTTATGAAAGAGGGTAAAAAAAATTATTTTTTTTTAAATCACACAAAGCCCTGTGTGTACAAGAGAAAAATTACAAAACCACAGCAATCTGATTATTCACCTGCATGCCTACAACACACACACACACACACACACACACACACACACACACACACACACACACACAATTGATTGTGACATACACTTGGGAATGTTTTTCTTTGTTTGCCATTTGAGTGTTTGCAGTGGACACCATGTGCTCTCTCAAACATGTGGACACAGTTTTGGTAGTGTGTGTGTGTGTGTGTGTGTGTGTGTGTGTGTGTGTGTGTGTGTGTGTGTGTAGGCAGTATCAGTCATCATGCAGAGTTTAGGACACTGAGGTTGAGGAAACAGTCGAGTCATTTATATGAAAGAGGATCTCACTGAAGAAAAACTCCACAAACAAACACACTCATTTACCTTCAACATATACAGCACATCACACAAGCACACACACATATACATACACAAATTATACAAACACACACTACATGCATATGCTCTCTCGGTGTCATGGATAAACACAAACTAAAATCTGACTCTGACGCCAACACACACACACACACACACATCACACACAAACACACCACACGACACACACACCCACACACACACACACACACACACACACACACACACACACACACACACACAGACAGACACACACACACACACACACACAGCGACCAAATCAAGCTCTCATTCATCAGGGCAGGAGAAGGTCCAACAAGCTAAATAAACTGAGCGAGGCAGAACAGTTTGACCAGTCATCTGATATTAAATATATAACAGCCAGTGAAGCCCTGACCCCGCCATCTGATATGTAATATATATATATATATAACAGTCAGTAAAATACAGCACATCAGAGCCTGGAAAAGTTTCTCCACTCGAGATTTCTCTGAAGATGCGAGTCTGATTGGTAGCTGAGAATGCTCCTGAAGTGAATATGACCAAATCACAACTGCAGGTCATGTCATGCTCAAGAGTTGGCTGGAGAAGCTAGTACATTTCCTAAGAACCCCAGGATCCCTGTGACAAACAATTATTGTTATTTTCAATTAATTTACAAATAAAATTCTTCATTTATCGATCGCTGGATCTATAAAATGTCAGGCTGTGATCTTTTAATCACTTGGTTAGTTCATCTAGTGGTTCAAAACCTGAACTTGGTCAGTTGACTATTCAATAATAAAAAGAAAATGATTAATCATTCATTTAAAATTGTTGTTGGCTAAGTTTTAGTCAGTCTATCAATTGATTAATTAGCAAACAGTTTCCTGTCATTCATGTGTTTCAGTCAGATGGATGGGGGGGGTGAGCTGTTTGGACTAACACACATTTCTACATTTCAACTCAGTGTTTATCTATTGAGACACAAAAACTGTAGGAATGCTTTTTTCAAACTGAGCGTGTCAAAGGTCACCAGGTCACCAGATTAACTACCTCTGATGATGTGTTTATGAAGTGAACATAAAGGTGCAGTAAAGGCCACATATTAACTGGACACCATCTTAGTTTGAGGTGTATTGTGAAAGCAGTGCGTTCGTTCATTGTTTACAGGCAATTTCCACAACAGTTTACACTTCACAGTGTAATGGAAACAACAAGCCTGTTGCTATTAGTAATGCAGTGTTGTTGTGTATGTAGAGGTGCTCAGTGTCCTCTGAGCTCTGTGTAATTTACTGCAGTGTGTGCGTTGCAGGGGCGTGTTTGTGTGTGTCCAGGGAGAGTGGTGAAGTCAGCGTTTCCACAGTGATATCTAGTCTGGAGAATCTCTTGATACTGGTGGGGGGGCATCCAGATAACAAACAGCTGGGAGAGAAAACCACACACACACACACACACACACACACACACACACACACACACACACACACACACACACACACACACAAAGTGCACCCACACAGTATGTGAGACTTCTACAAGCTCTCCATGCCTCAGCCAGAGGGAATTGGGAAGTGTGCATGTGCTTAAATTAAAGTGAGGTACTTTCCGTTCACAGTGTGTGTGTGTGTGTGTGTGTGTCTGTGTGTGTGTGTGTGTGTGTGTGTGTGTGTGTGTTTCGGTCCATCCTGACAAGCTATGGAGTGAGAGCAGATGCCGTTAGCACTGCTCACTAACCATCAACAGGTGATTTGCACTTGCAAAGTGATGTGCATTCACTGGGGTAAATTTTTGTCAACTATAACACACTGCAGGTGATTTTGTCAGCAAAAGCTTATTAAAAGTTATTACTTCAAAAAAAATCCATAACATGCTTTATTTAAATTCAAAATGAGCAAAAATAAGTCAGTTTTCTACCATTTGCAGCAATTTATATGAACACCAATTCACATTCAGTTTTACACAGAAGTGTGTATGTGCTCAGTTAAGATCTGTGATTGTGCCTTTGGCTGTGGAAACTGGACACTTCCAGTCAGTCCCAGAGGAGGACAGGAAATGTCACCTGTGTGATTTGGATGAGGTTGAGAATGAAATGCATTTTATCTTCTTCTGTCCTTTATATCACGATCTTTGAGTTAAACGTTCATTGAAAATGTCTCCTGGGTGTCGCAGTCTGCTCCATACGACAGATTAATGTCGATTACAGGACATGATTACATAGAAGATACTATAGCTCAGTTTTTGTTAAATGCCTATCATCAAGACACGAAAGCATTGTATGTTTAATTTGTTCACTCTATATCTGTACTGGCTTCCTCTGAAGGTGATGTAAGTAGTGCCTTGTAAACTCATGTGGGCCAGGCACCTTTATGTGTATGACCCTCCACATTCATTCAGTATGTGTTAGATTATCAAGTCCACTATTATTTTAAGTGCCTAGAAAGTGACGTGTTGTTTGTCACATGTAAACTTCTCTCGTCAGTGTTGTTTAGCCATTTAAATAAGAAGAGAGTATTTCTCTGTTCTCTATATAAACCAAAGACAACAGAAATCTGACCAGCATTAAATAATTACAGACAAACGAATATTATAATTTCCACACTGAAAAAGTGAGCATCACATTTGATTGTTAACATTACACTGAGGTTGTTTTTATCCAGAAACCTACTTGTAGCTCTCCAGCTGGCGCGCGGAGGACACGGTGAGGAAGCTGTCTGTTCTGCTGTTGTAGACCAGTGGACCTGGCAGCAGGAACCCAGGGAGGAACCTGCCGAAGGAGTAACTGTCCTGCTCGAAGAACATCAGCATCCCGTCCATAGACTGGATACACAGGGAGTGGTGACCTGATTGAAAGGGAGAGGGCAAAGGAGATGATTCAGTTACTCTTATCTCATAAAGACCAAATCACATGCTGTTGGTATTTATGATATACTGAAGAACGGACAATATGGAATTTGGCTTGTTGCACCTGAAATATTTAGTTGATTATTTTATAAGTCAGACAACAAAAAGTCAAATCAACAACAATTCTGATAATAGATTGTTTAAATAATGTAAGAATACAATCCATTAATTCCCTCTTCAAAATTCCTGCCTTCCTGTTACTGTACCTAAAACTGTAAATTAGACTAAACAAAACCAACAACAGATTAATGAGCAATAAGAAGAATTTTAAATTGCAACTCTGGAAGTAAGTTTGATATGAATGAATTTTTATATACACAGGTATATATACACTTTAGGCTTCAGACCAGGTAAGAGATGGCACAATAAAACAATTTTGTTCATTTGAAGTGTCCAGAACTGAGGCTGTTTTACTCTGCTTCACCTACATCCCTGTACCTCTTCCTCTGAGACAGTGTGTGCAGGAATAACTAAACCAATCCAGCTGAAGTTTATAAAGTCTGGATTTTCAGGCAGAAAAAGGAAGAGTTTATTATGGACAAAGTGTTCAAATGTGTACAGGCAGAATCACTGCTCTGCTTTATGACAGCTGTGACTCTGCAGTTTTAAAATTGTGAGTTTTTAAGTACCGGTGATCCTGAACGACACTCATGGCTTCTGTTTCATTTCAGCCGTGATGTCGTGTTGTGCTGCGAGGTGTGTTTCTCCCTCTGGCTGAATCTGATATCTCCATTAACACNATAACGACTGACAAAGAGACGAGCTGCAGAGACTCAGAGTCGTTACTTCACCATCACAGGCAGTCATCTTTCACTTTGATCACCACACACACACACACACACACACACACACACACACACACACACACACACACACACACACACACACACACACCTGGCTCCGGGTATGAAAGTGTGCAACACTGTGTGCTTGTGAGGAAAGGCCTGATTTAGGACGTACTAAGCCCTAACGCGTCTGTGCACACAGCAACACACAGCAACACACAGCAACACACAAGGCCATAAAGCCGTGGGGCTGTGTGACCAGAGAACTATAATTAGGCCTCAACGCGCTATTAAAGCTCACACTGCCATCAACTAGAGGTCAGGGAGACAGCCACCTACAGCGCAACACACAGACACACACACACACACTCACACACACTCAGAATCTATCACCAAGGATTTAGGAAGAAAAGCCGCACAGTCCTACACACCTATCCAGTGTAAACATATGTGTGTGTGTGTGTGTGTGTGTGTGTGTGTGTGTGTGTGTGTGTGTGTGTGTGTGTGTGTGTGTGTGTGTGTGTGTTTGAGTGATGAGCGGAGTTCAGGGTGGCCATTAACACACTGAAGGACAAGGTCTCTCACGCCGCAGACACACCCTGTGAGTGCAGGTGTGTGTAACACGCTGTTTGATAATGAGCCAACAGCAATTGTTGCAGCATCTGAATGTGTATGTTGTGTGTTTCTGTGTGTGTGTGTGTGTGTGTGTGTGTTCTGTCCACTGCACCAGGTTGTTTTGTTTAAAAAAGGAAACACAGATAAAAGTTTTGGAAATCAAATGCATCGACTTTAGTTCACGCTGCTCGATCATGAGTGTCTGCTGTCATTTGTGTTCATTCCTGTGAGACTGTGCTTGATGTGAAAGCATAAATTGCAATAATGGCAGTGTCTCTAAGCTAAGGTTGAATATTATTTTAATTTGAGTATGATGCTACTTATTGTTGCTTCTTCTCACAACCTAGTTCTGATTCTTCTAATTTTTGTGGGGTAAAGAAAAAAAGAAATGCATATAATCAAACGAAAATCTAAAGCCACATTTACTTTAGTTTTGATTTACATAAACAGTAATTGGTCCTAAATGGCAACATATTTTGTGACTCTTTGGTTAAAGCTCTGTCTTGTCATGGAGAAGTTGAATGTTGTCAGTTTTCCATTTGGTTTCATCTCAGTAGGACTGGGAACCTTTCTGGAAAGAACTACATGATTACACTTTGAATTCTTCAATTCTAATTAAATGCTAAGCTATGGTAAGCTGGTTCCTTTTAGTCATTACAAAAATGGCCAATTTTACTACAGGCAAGAATACAATTCAACACATATGAAGAATACATTTTACAACGAACTTAACTATCTAAATTAGTCTCAGAACTTTCTCACTATTTTCCCTGTAATTATACTAAATTACAAACTTCTTTCAAGCAGATGTTCAGGATATGGCTAAGAAATTATTAGGAAATCACAGAAGTATAAAATAAAGCTTTAAAAAATCTGTATTAGATCCAGAACTCTCTGAAATACATCAGTTGTGAGCAGCAAATCAAAACTGGGCACAAGCACTGGTGGTATAAAACAAAAAGAACAAACAGTATAAAGCCAATTTTATGTTTCAGCAGCTGGTGTCCTCCTTCGGACAGAAGAGAACTCCAGCTGGATACCTGAGGAGTGGACTGGTCTCCCAGACAAACAACTTTGTGGATTTGTCAGGTGTCGGGTGGTCGTTTCCCACCCTGAAGACCAGAGCCAGGGTCAAAACAACACACACTCAGACAGCCTGACACTCCGCTGTATCATCAATAATAAGAGAGGTACTGAAAAGTAAGAGCCGGGCTGTGCCTTAATAGCAACTCTGCACATGTAATTTCACACACCCACACCCAGGTATAATGTGTCAAAGAGCCCAGTATGAGAGCGCCGCCACTCAGACACAGCGGAGGAAACAGGCCCGTATTAGCGTCATTAATAAGACATGTTGAACAAGCACACGGCGCAGCCAACAAAGCACAGAGGCTGGCCGCACACTGCAGCGGGCAGAGCCTCGCCTCTGTGTGGGAGTGTGTGTGTGTGTGTGTGTGTGAGTGAGTGAATGACAGTGTGTGGGTGAAGGAGTGTGTGTGAGAAAGAGAGCGAGTGTGTAGGTACATGTGAAAGTGTGCAAAAGTGTGTGTGCCAATTTGTTTTTTGTGTGCATGAGTGTATGTCTGTGTGTGTGACTGTGTGTGTGTGTGTGTGTGTGTGTGTGGGACTACGTGTGTATGTATATCTATATGTATCAGACCAAAGTTTGAAAAGACTAGTCCATGCTCAGAGTGTGTGTGTGTGTGTGTGTGTGGCCTGAATGTGACCCAAACCCAAAGGCAGCCCAGCTATTAGAGCAGTATTAGTATAGAGCTGCTATTACAGCGCCTACAGCACTGCTAAATGGCTGCTATTATAGACCCACACACACACACGCATATTCACGTGTAAGAGCAGACACGACTTGCAAAAACACTCCCACACACACACACACACACACACACTCGAGGCTTTCCAAATCCAAACACACACTTTGAGCATAGGAGAGCAGAGTGCTGTCTCACACACACACACACACACACACACACACACACACACACACTCGAGGCTTTCCAAATCCAAACACACACTTTGAGCATAGGAGAGCAGAGTGCTGTCTCACACACACACACACACACACACACACACACACACACACACACACACACACACACACACACACACACAAAACTACATATTCGGACATTCAGCTGGTCTGGCCTCAGAGCTGTGACCATCACTCTGTACTCAGTAAACCCACACAGAAAACACCCTGCAGTCTGTGCCTGTGTGGTTCTCTGTGGATGAATTTATTTCTGTATTTGTACATGAATGTGCACTTTTGCATATAGTGGGCTATGTCTGCAAATAATTACGAGTGTGTGTGAGTGTGTGTGTGTTCCAGCCACTGAACCGTGAGATCAGCTCATTTTCATGTAAACTGTGTGAAACAGTAACAGCGAGGAAAGCTCAAACAGCGGCAGCTTCCCCACTCAGACAAACTCAGATGATCCCAAACAACTCAACAAGTAGAACAACGCCGGCAAATAAAACATGTGGAATGAATGAATGACGGAAATAAAGACTGTTGCACCATAATTCTGGTTTTTGAAACTGAAACACTGCGGCGGGTTTACTGGACGGCCTGTATCTAGACACTCTGTCCCTCTACATTTAGCAAATTCAGTCTGTAAATTGATGCTCTTACTTAATTTTTACTGTTAAGTTTTGATTTTTTCTTTCTACTTTGTCAGTTATTTACCTTTTTTACAGTAGATGCTGCCTTTTTATCATGGTTATCTGGAACAACAAAATAAAACAGTCTTCCTGTCCAGTGGACTAACCTGGTTGATTAAAGACCATTAAAACCTAAAATTAGAGCTTACAAAATAGTTTTAAGAGTTTGAAATATTGTTATGTGCAGGGTTTTGCTTGAGTTGAGCCCTGTAATCCAAGCTGAGGAGCTGGTTACGAGCTACCCCATTCTGCTGTAGTGTCCTGGAGCGAGACACTGAATCTCTACCAGATCCAGAGACGCTGCACTGGAGCTGAACTCTGACCCTCCTGATGAGAGGACCCTGCTGGATAAATGGGACTTTCCCTTCCATACGGGATCCCATTCGTTCATGCTATAGTAAGTACAATTCCAGGGCCTGCACTGCCATCTAGAGGTGACAAGAGGATGGAGCAGGAGGAGAGAGGACGGCATCAATTACAGAGAAGAGGAGAGGAGAGGAGAGGAGAGGAGAAGAGAGGAGACGAGTAATATGTTTGTATATATGAGTGCATGTGTTTCTTTGCATATGTGTTTAAGTATGTGGTTGTATGTGCTAGCATGCAAAGTTACGTGTGTGTCTTGTGCTGCCACGTTTGTATACATTCATGTCAAATGCGGGCTGATGCATCCACGCAAACCTGAAGTATGCGTGTATCTGTGTGTGTGTCGGGGACGAAAACTTCACGTGTTGTGTGTTCGTTGGAGAGCGGGAGTGTGTGTGAGAGCTCGCATGACAGATCCAAAATACCGCTGCACAGTGTGGTAATACCAGAAAATAGCATGTGGAAACACACGGACACACGTACAGGTTCATGGTGCACGTGCATTCAGAACAGGCCAAGGTATTGGTTTTAATGAGCGCACACTGTTCTTTCTATCAATCAAACACACACGCACACACACACACGCACGCTCTGTAAACATGGAGTGAATGAAGGGTCCATCATGCCAGGCCACAGCCTGGCAATGTCTGTCCTCACACACACACGGACACACACACCTTGACAATACAGCCTTTATTTGGAAATGCCACATTCTCTGCTTTAAAGGGGGTTCCCCATGTGAGTGTGTCTTTTGGTGTGTGTGTGTGTGTGTGTGTGTGTGTGTGTGTGTGTGTGTGTGTGTGTGTGTGTGTGTGTGTGTGTGTGTGTGTGTGTGTGTGTGTGAGTGTGTGTGTGTTTTTCTTGGATGCTTTATTCGAGGGCTTTCCCCTACTTGGTTTTTCCAAAAGCCCAACTGACGGTAGAGAGAGCAGCTATATGACCCCTCTCTCTCTGTCCCTCTCTGTCTCCCTCCCTCCCTTACTCCCTCTCCCCCTCTCTCCCTCTCTCTCTCTTTCCATCCTTCGCTCCTCTTAGAGACTTTTATAGTTTCATGTATTTGTCCGGTGCAGCCAATTACCCCTTTTGCCAAGACACATGCACAGATGTTCACTCATACACACACGTTTGTACCTCTATACTTGTGAGGACCCTCACCGATATAATACATTCCTTAGCCCCTAGCCCTAAAACATCACAATTAAATGCCTAAATCGGACCTACACCGAATTCCAAACTTAACCGTTAAACCAAGTCTGAACTCTCAAACAGCCCTCTGAATGTTCAGCATTCCACTTTGCAAAAATGTCACTTTGGTCCTCACAAAGATTCACGCCTAGAAGGACACACAAGTCTGGTAAAATAGTAGAAGTTCTACCACCAGCCACTGTTCCTGGAGGGCATAAAATGTCCCTTGAGTGGCATTACCAAGAGCTGTAATTATGCATAAACAGTCCTGTGGTATTCTATGGTGATCTAAAATCTGTCATGATCAGTTCTGTAAGACTCCCAATGTTGTTTTTGTAAAGTAATGCCAAAGAGAAGTTTTAATCCTAGAGATGGGCTGGTGTTTTTCACCTGAACATGGATGCATCTTTTCCTGGTAAACTGATCAGGTAACAAGTAGCCAAATAAAGCATTTAAAATGTCAGACATACCCGTGACTCCTCCAAAGGTGCCGTAAGTCATGTTGCAGGCTGTTCTTTTCAGGTTGTGTTCATAAACCAGCTTCAACTGGTACTGGTCACCGTGCTCCACGTTGCCTGCAGTGCCTGAACACACAAATCAGAAAAATAAATCAAATCTATATGATATTTTTGACAGTGTAAGTTGCTCAAAGTTTGAGGAGTTACGAGAAACAAGAAGGGAAAAAAGCATTAAGCTGCTCTAGTGAACGTGTGTTACCTGACACAGAGTAGACGGACAGTTTCCTGGGGTGAAGAACAGCCAGGTGAAGAAGCTCCGAACACCTGAGAAGAGAACAGAAACAAACTCTGTTACCTGAGGGTCAATACATGCTCACTTTATGACTGCAATTGCATTAGTTTCCTAATTAAATGTTGTGTTCATTATGTTGAATACCACAGATTTTACAGTTTTGAACAGAGACTGTGAACAGAAGTATAGGATGGATCCCAGGTTTATAACAGTAGATTCAGAACTGTGGGTGAACCCATGTTCTCAGCTAAAGTGTCTCTCATAGTTTAACTCATACTTCTAAAATAATTACTGTAACAGCTGCTGGGTTGTTTGAGCATTGGTTATGTCTGAGGTGTAGATGATGGTCTCAGTGATGCTGATCCTAGATTTTCACTTATTTCCTTAACCACAAACCCACAGAGAAGGTATCTGTCCACTTTCTGGACCCAGATTTGATGCCGTCTTACTAACTTTCAACCACTGTTGTAATGTTTGTTGAGAGAAGAACAACAAGGGAGGAGAAAACTGGATCCCTCAAGTTTTCTCTCTTGCTTAAAAAAAAACCACTCAAGTCAGTGCTGAAACAAAACCTTTCACCAGCTGCCCACCTCGGTCTGCCCTGACAATATTTACAACGTGCTTCTCTGACGAGGCCGGCTTCCAAAATGTCCACCACCCTCTGAAGAATGCTGCGCTGAAAACCGCAGGTAACTAAACACGACATCTTCCAAACAGACTGATTTACTTGGATTCTGCTCCCAGCGTGATGATATGGGAAGCCTTCGAGGCAAACCACCAGAGCTTTTCCCAGAAACCTCGCTTTTCCGGGAGGTTCCTATACACCCACAGTGCGTCAATGGGAGGTACAGTATTCAGATCAATGGCTGAAGTAAGGCAGGATCTCTGCCAGGGTTAGGGGTTCAATTAGCTGTGTGGCTTAATTGAAAAGGGGAGGTGTTTATGCTTAATTTACTGTAGATTTCAAAGTCGGTCTGGCTTCAAGTGAGAGAAGAAGAGTGCACACTATTCTGCAGACAGCCTCTGCGTCACTGTTGACTGTTTGTTACTGATCTAAATGTTTGCAGCTTCAGTCTTACATTCGTCCTGGTTGTGCCACACACACTGTTGTAGCTGTGCACATAAAATTTTCCATTAAAAATTGTTAATTTAAATGTAACATAGTTGCTGTTGATGGATGATTCGACATTGATTCAATGTGTAATTCATTTGATTAAGCAGTTTAAATTAAATTAAAGACACATAGTCATTAAATATATTGTTATTCTTCAATGAAATATTCAGTGAAACAACATCAGTGTTTGACCTATGACCTATGAACATCTGTCTATCCCTCCCCATGTTTCATTAAAGATGAATATAGCAAATCCATGTAGTTGCTTCTAAATTGATGGTCACTGTGGCAACAAATGTGAGTAATCGGTTAACAGCTCATTGATTTTCCTTTCATCTCCAAAGATTTCTTAAGTCAGTTGAGTGCTTCAATAAGATAATCATTAGTCAGTGACATGACTCCCCAAACAAGAAAACAAAAATGCCAAAGGTGAGGAACAATGTGCTTATGTCCTGTTTTACTTTTACAATACAACTACAGCAATGTTTTTCTGGGACAAGCTAAAAGAATAAAGTCCTAGTGAAGAAGAGTGAAGTGACTCAGTAATGTCAGGTACACAGCAGTGTGTGTGGAAAGCTTGCTAACAATAGCCACCATAAGCTACTTTTAAAACCTGGCCAGGTAAGGATGTAGCTGCAAAACAACTGAATGTATGGAATCAAGAAATGGTGCGTTTTACTGCTCAAGCATTCAACTTTTAAAACGTTTTTTCTTCAGTTATTAATGACGACAGTACTTTGAAAATTGGAGCAAGGCGCAAATAATGTTATGGTCAGTATTTCATTCTGACAGGAGTAACCAAGGCCTAAACTGTTCAGATGTTTTAAAGCGCACAAAAACGGCAAAGTAGCTCAGGGCACAAGGTTCAGTGTGTTTCCTTTACTGCTAAGCTAAATATGATGTAAGATGGATAAAATTCTCCATGGAGTAATATATGTATCACCACTATTCTGTCACTATCCCCACATCATTCCTTTCCTCCCGCTTCTTTCCCACTTTCAAATAGTTTCGGCTGTGAGGGGTCATTTAATCATCTTTGCTCCAAAACAAGTCGTTTCTACTGGAGGCATCTGCACATTTCGCTTGACCTCGACTCAGAGGGGTCAGATCTTTCTCCAATTATACAGTGCAATAACAATGCAGGATAGGGCCCTTGGGTTCTGACAGTTATGCTAGCAACTCGGTGGTTAGCCTGATAGTATGAGCACAACTATGTTTGGACCACTGGGTAGCTGATAGATCATGATAAATCATGCGGAGGGAGAGAAACTCCTGACATAGTGGTTTTGGGCTAGCATGCATCGCAGAAGAAAAAAAAGGCATGTTAATGTGGTGGTAAGTCACAGCAGGGATGTTTTCTCTATGAATGAAAAAGCGGTGTGATGAGTTATGAATGGGTGTTTCTGCCTGGCAGTTTAAAGTAAGGCTATATTATAAGCTATATTATGAATGCTTATAATTCACAGAAGGTCATGACACAGAGTTAAAGACAGACCTGTGATTAATTCCCGGGCAGCAGCAGCACACACGCACACGCACGTGCACGCACACACACACACAGTATGTAACACAAACAGAGATATGACCGTCAGGGTGGCCAGAGAGCACAGAGGAGCTGCCCTGTAATCTAAAGATCAAAGGTGTAATTCCTGAAGCAGACCAATGGCTCTATCAAAGGCTCCATGTCCTCTTCAGCAGTGACCTCTTAACCTACTTGCTACAACCTACTTGCATGTACTAACAAACCATTTCTAACATGACTATATTCAATAAATGCCTAGAACGTAAATGCAACCGTTTGCTACTTAATTAAAAACATCAACACTTTTTTGTTCTTAATTTAAATGACATTTACATTTTATTTACAGTACATTTAGTCAACGCTCTTATATGGACTGACTGCAATAATAAATTCCACAAACATTAGAAAACCACCCACAGTAAGAAGTGCAGGTGTGAAAGCCAGTAATGGATGGACAAAAACAATAGTAACTCACAAACCAAAATGGTTTAGCATCAAAAATGTCAACTGCAGGTTCAGGAGTTTTTACTCCGTGTCTCTGTTTTGAATTATTATAAACTGTAAAAACAGAAACTTTGAAGACAACACTGTTGGTTCTGGGAAATTTTTCTGATATTTATAGACTAAAATGATTATAATCAATAAATTGAGAACATAATTTAATTTTTTTTTTTTTAAATGAAGTTAGTTGTAATCCTTAAATGGTACAAGATCTGATCCGCATTTACTTTGTGCTTTGTGTTTTTACTTGTATAGGAGTGTAATGTGAGAAAATAAGGCAGAGATTTGCATTCGTGAGACAGTGATTTAAAGTTTCTCCCTGGCAGAAGACATTAGGCTAATGCCAATTTGACCTACAAAACACTAACACAGGTTGGGGCTGGAGGGAGGGAGGGCTGAGAGATTAACAAAACTATCAATGATCCTGGTGGGAGAGCACAGATCAGTGACTTGATTTATCAGGAGTGTCACTGAGTTAAGACTGAAACCAACAGTAGAACCAATAGAACCCATTAGTGTCTAGATACTAACATTCCCATTTTCTGGGACATAAAGTCCAGTCCAAGGAAGCAAAAAAACATTAAACATCTTCTATAAATCAGAATTTAAAAATGTGATTTACATCATAAACTGCATAAACTGTGTTCTATTAATCATGATGAAATATAACATAACAACCTACAATCTTCCATGGCTGCAGTACATATCCTTCCTAACCCCCACGTGGCCTTGGCCCAGGTTTGGTCCAGGTCTACTTACGAGACAAACTTGCCCACTTCCATCTGGATGATGGCATTTTGAAGCTGGACCTCAAGAAGCTGGGCATCAGCTATACCTCCCTCACTGGACTTATTGGCATGTGGGGAGAAGATCCGCAGCATTCCCATGTAGCTGCCCACCACCACTTTGTCTGCAAAGTCATAATCACAGAGGAAGATAAGTATGGATGTTACAATTCAAGATAGATCACATTTCAAGACACTTCACAAATCCTGTAAAATATTTAATACATAAAACAAGATTTTTTAAAAATAGTAGAAACAATGAAATATATATAGAAGAGTCAAAGACACTTCAAATAGGATAACCTGGAGTAATCCAAAATAAAAGAAGGGGTGTTGAACACATGACATCTTCATACAAATTTATTTTCTTTCCCTTTGAGGTCTGCCTATATTTCAGCCACTTTTAGGTTTCTCGCACAGAGACACTACTTCTGTCCAGGTAGACATTACATTATATCAAATAACATTACATTACGCTGATTTGGCAGATGGTTTTGTCCAAATCGACTTACAATAAGTGCATTGAGCCACTGTAGGAACAGGGGCTGGAATTCATTAAGAATTGTAAATGCACCCCTTCTATATAAATATGAGCATGTTTAGTGTTACAAGACAAGTGCTTAGATTTTTTTTTTGCTTTATAAGATGTTAGATATCAGTAAGTTCTATATAATCAAGGACTCTTGTTTCCTGTCCTTTCTGTCAAGAGGTATGTTTGATTTGAATTATGAATAAACTGATTTTTGTGCATCTCTTGTTCCTTGTGTTGCAATTGGTGCACGTCATTGGAAGTCTCGTTTCCAAATCAATTTGACATAATGGATGTGGAGACAATGATGATTCATAAACTACAAGGAAATAAACATTTAACTCTAATATATTTTTGCATCCACATAGAGTGAATTGAAAGTGGTGCAATAAGAGGTAAGGTTCTGCAGTCTGTATGCTCTGTGGCGGTTAACATACACACTCACTACACACTGACCATGTCCGGTGCCGCTGTTGTCCACATCTCCGACACACAGGCATCCCTGGTCAAATTCCTCTCCCTCGCCAAGAACTGCCGACCACCAATCACGGGCTTTGAACAGAGACATGCTGCCTCTAAGTGGACAGAGAGGGAAAGACATAAGAGGGGAAAGGGTTAGATTTCTTCTGCTGTGAACCTGACATACAGATGTTTTCCAGTTGATCTGTGTCTCTGTAATCTGTGGCGTAAAACTTCATATTCCATTGAAATACAGTCCTCCTAATTGATAATGCGTAGCAATATATTAAAGATGAACTACTGATCAACTGACAAATGAACAAAGAGAGACACAAGGAAAACATTTATGCATTAAAAAAGGACGAAATTATTTAAACTGATGAGGAAGTAACTTTTAGCACACAGTGGTATCTCCTATTCACAGATCCAGTCATGTAGTTGGGAGGTGGGGTCACTTGCTCACTAGCACCACTACAATGGGTAATGAAGAAAGAGCAAATATTTCTCATTCAACTTCCTCCAATAATTTATTCTGCCAATTCAACCATTAAGGTGAAGCTTTAGTCACTGGCACGGTGACAGCTTGGACCACTATCCACTCAGCTGGCTCTCAGCGTTCTGTGCACCACACTGACACCCACAGCCAATGGTAGACCTAGAAGGCAGGTCACATGATCCCAGGATTGAGCGTGAGCAATGAAGGGGGGGAGTGAGGAGCGGGGTGGGTGGGGGCAAGCAGCTTTTCTAATTTCTAAGTGCTGAGCAGGTGGATCGGGCAGCTAATCCAGACAGAGAGAATCCCTCCTATCCACAGTGCACTGCCATACAGACCTGAGCAGTGTTGAAGGAATATTACAGCTTCTTCTATCAAGATACTTCATAACAAAGCAGCGTTTAAAATTTCAAAATTATTAATGAAATAAAATACCAAACCGTTGCTGCATTCACACAGACACAGACGTGTTTGCTTTTCTTCCAGTGATACAGTAGTGTTAATCGCACCACCGCATGCTTCATTGTTTTTCCTGAGCACAACCTGTTACACATCACATGCACTTTTTCCCAATTTGTTCATCGATTAGCTGTGGATATATCTTAAATTTGCCTCAGCTAATGCTTTCTGCAAGGATGAAGTTGGTAGAAACTTCAAAAGTCTTCAACTCAAAGAATCTCACTCTGGTATTGTTCACTTTGTCTGACGACTTCCGCCTTGATAATAAATGTGGAACAGCAGTAGTTACTACTAGGGACAGTGTCGTACAGGTTATGTCCCTTTGATAAGAAGCACCCTTGAGTTCCCTTGAGCAACACTGTGACCTGGCTATTGGCTCCAAGAGTGTTGCTTCTGAATGTCTTTATATGTACAGTAGTTTCCTGGTTATGATTGCATTATTGGAGTGGATCCCTGTTGCCTGTTGCATAGGTAAACATCATATCCTGGTTTCAGAAACCTGGATAAGACCTTATTCAGGTTTTGAGAAACTTTGATACCCTACCTGGAGCACCACAGACCAGGACATTGGAGTATGTAAACACCTAATCAAGGTTCCTGAGCATCCTTTTTAAAACAGAACATTGTGACTGAGATGAAGACACACCTGCAGGCAGACAATCAAAAACCTGGATTCTGTAATGATCATGTACACAGGTATATATAAAACCAGGCTTCTCATGTTCCATGTAAATGACATATCCCTAATATGATCAAAAACAGGTACAACATCATGCATTCACCGTTACATGCAAAACATGTTTCCCCATATTGATCAATAATGTGTAACATCACAGCACAGTTCATCATTAGCAGCCGTTGCTTTTTTAATAACCACAATGGATAGGAAAATTAAATATTACAATAACTAGAAGACATTCTTCCATCCATATATATAAGAATACATGTTTCAGTGTGTAAAAAGAACATATAAAGTGGTTTGACACATGTCCTTCACATTACATTGCGCTGAGAGTCAAACTTGAGCTGTCATTTAGAGCTGCAGTAAATTATCTCAGAATGAGAATGGCTTTTATTTGCTTTGTAGTTGTAAATGTGTGTATAACACTCCACGTTGTTAGTGCAACCACAAGCCACAGTACAGACTCAATTCAACACTCAAGGACGAGACAGAGAAATTAGCTGTTTTACTCGCCGGCTGGTATTCAACTTTGTGTACTCTTGAGCTTTAACAGCACATGACCAGACACCTGTGGGTTTATAGGTGTACACCCAGGAGAACTATCTGTTATGGCAAACAAGTCCTCTATGACTGGGAAGCATTAATGAATCATACACGCATTCAAAAGCTGTTTTAAGTCGGTTACAAATCGAGGCATCCTGCACAGGTAAATTATCTTGCAGCTAACGTCAAGCCCTCTGAATTAACTTTAGCTTAGCCGGCTAATTAGCTAGCTCTCGAAGTTACCTGGGCACCAGCTATCACGTCAAAAACAGTGTCGTTGTTATTTCCACAGCTTCTCCGCTGGTGACAAAACACATTTGGGTTTGTTCCCGGGGTTTTCTTACCTTCACGTCCACGAGCCAGACCGTAAAAACCGACGGTTTGTTCCTCCTCGTTCACACAACAATCACATTTTCCCCCTTCTCGTTTGCAGCCATCGTCCTGTTGTCATGGCAGTGACGCTCAATGGAGAAGCCGGGCGGCTGTGCGCAGGAACGGAAACACAAGGGCTGGCGGGAAAATGAGTTTTTGGACTACAGACCCGACAGTCATATATTCCTTGGGGAAATGAACATTATAAAACTAGAAAATTCCTGGAGAACTTTTGAAAGTGCCTGCTGCTTGGTGCGTGTATTTCATTCTTCACGTTTTGATCTGTACAATGGACGTTACTTTCAGTTTAATTCATGTCGTTGAGACTCATCCTGACGCTCACCTCATTCACTGTAGGTTTTCCTTCAAAGAAACATTTGAAGTTGTCACGACTGGTCAAAATAACCTCACACTGATGGTTTCAACCAAAACCCAAATTTGTCTCTACAACCACAGAAAGACATGTATACACACATGTACATGCACTTACAAAAGTTGATCTGCAATAAAGCTATATCACCATATCCCATATGGACGATCGCTTCTGAGATCGAACTTTTATGACCTACCTTACGTCTTACCTTTTTGACACTCATATTTTGAAAGTGTCTTTGCTTCTGTGTGTGTGTGTTGAAGTATGACGCCGCAGTAGAGCTTCAAATAGGGCTGGGTTTGGTAGTTTTGAAGACATCACTCCATTCATTCTCTATGGGAATTTTTCGCCTCTTATCGGCATTTACGTTGCCATGGTTACTCCAATCGCTAAAAATATATATATTGTCTGGGTTTTCTCAAACCTGCGCAACTAGTTACGCCACGAAATTTCGATACGGAGGATGACTAAGACGAATAATTATGAAGGATAATAATATATCCCTGCAATGCTATTTTGTCCATCCCATTTATAGAAATTAGATTTGACAAAATATTAGGAATAGTTCTCAGTATATCCTGGTACACTTAAACATTACCAGAGGTGGGCAGAGTAGCCAGAAATTGTACTCAAGTAAGAGTACTGCTACTTTAGAATTTTATTACTCAAGTAAAAGTAAAGAGTAGTCACCAAAATATTTACTTGAGTAAAAGTAAAAAGTATGTTGTGAAAAAACTGAGTTGAAAATACTGAGTAACTGATGAGTAACCTGTTCGTTTAATGATGACGGCAACAAATAATGCACAAAAACATAGAAATAGCAATGAACAAATTCAGAGCCAAGAATATCTTTTAAGCAACTAAAACAATAATAAATTAAATAATAATACATTAAAATTGTCTCGAAGCGCTCGTTGTTGCCATTGTGTTCTGCTTCTTTGCTGCCGGTGTTTGCCGCTGAAAGTTCGTGTGCAGTTAGTCATGTGACCGCCTGGCTCTGTTTGATTGGTGAAACAGAGTCAAACGTCACCAGTGACTGCGTTTGATTGGTGAAACGCAGTCATGCGCTGGATCCTACTTTGGAGGTCTCTGACAAACCAAAACAAACAAAGCGTGCATTAACAGATCGATAAAAAATATGTAGCGAGTAGCGAGCGTAATGTAGATAAATGTAACGGAGTAAAAGTAGCGCTTCTTCTTCACAAATATACTCAAGTAAAAGTAAAAAGTATGTTGCATTAAAACTACTATTAGAAGTACAATTTATCCCAAAAGTTACTCAAGTAAACATAACGGAGTAAATGTAGCGCGTTACTACCCACCTCTGGGTTGCACTGCACTAAGAAGAACCGTAATACTTCCGAGATCACTTATAGGCTAATTTACATGGGTCTACACCTCATAGGCTATTCAATATCCCATCACAATTAGGACTGTTATTAGTCTTGAATACATGTGTGGTTTCTTATGACGTTTGCTGAGGATCCCGTCACGTCACGGAGTCTGCGCAGCCTGATTAGCATACAGACAAAACACACGTTACCCAGGTGACTGTGCTGCACTCAGTTGAAAATATTTTTATATCATGCAAAAAGTTGAACAAGAAAGAGCAGAACTGATAACACAATCAAGGAAGATTGCGCCGGTAGAGGATGACATTAAAAGTACAAGAAAATTCCTGGAGAAATTTTGAATGTTCCTGCTGCTTGGTGCTTGTACTTCACTCCTCTCGTTTCAATCTGCACAAAGGACGTTACTTTCAGCTTCATTCATGTCGTAGAGACTCATCCTGACTCTGACCTCAGTCACTGCAGCTGTCCCTCAAAAAGCCTTTTGAAGCTGTCACGACTGGCCACAATAACCTCACATTGATGGTTTCAAACCCAGATTTGTCCCAACCACAGCAAGACATGTATACACACTCGTACATGCACTTACAGAAGTTGATCTGCAACTTAAACATTACCACAACAACAATCACAGCCTCCACAATGACCATTAAAATAAAACAACACTTCTCAAACAGATTCAGTAAATACTGAACATTATAATCCTCATGAAGGAGGACTTACTGCAGGCCTGTTCCATTATACTGCATTAGTTTCATCCAGGTTCACCTAAAACATATATATGAATTAAAAATAGAACTCAAGGACACAAGTGCTAAAACAAATCAGCCCTTTATTTCAAGTTTACCCAATATACAGCAACACTTAATAAAATGCATTTCTTTCAACAGAACAGTAATGGGGTTAATGGGGCAGAGGTAAGTAACTGCAGACTGTCTTAGAAAGGTTCACTGTGTAACTGGTGCTAGATGTCCTGAACTGTCCGTCTCATCTTGTAATACCACTGTCACTGTAGCGCAATAAACTTATCATAAACTAACTAATAGAACTTGAGGTACAGGTGAAACTGATGATCTCTCTCCAGGACTCCTCACCCTGTGATAGTGAGTCATGTGATGACCTTAGTTTTCTCAACCGATGCCCATCCATCCACTGCACCACAGCACATGATGCACTGTCCACGACCTCCTCAGCAGCAAACAGCAGACAGACACGGTCCGAGAGCAGCTGCTGAACATATGGAGCAATAAGAAGCTAAAGAGACAGATTTCCCTCAGGAGCTGGTGGAGACCAAATACAGAGCTAAAAGAGAGGGAACACTGGACTGACATCATCATGAGACATCAGGTGACACAAACACCACTCCAAATGCAACAAATCAAATATAATAAATGTCAATTAAAAGTTATAAATGAAGATAGAAAACGTCCTGTCTTCTCTTCATCTCTTCCCTACACAGTCCTTCCACCAACAGTCACACAGTGAGACACACTTGCAATGTGAGTGAAGTCAGTGTCAATCCTTCTGGGTTATCCACACTTGCTGCAGATGTATGATGTTGGCAGCCGGAGGGGTTTCCTCCAGGCAGCGGCACCCGCTCTGCCACAGCAGCTTCGGGACGCCTTCCTCTTCCTGTAGGCTCTGGTCCTGGGTACAGGTAGTTCAGGCAGAGGAGGTGGATGAACAGACGAGGTTAAAGGACTGTCCTTGTCCCACCTGTACCAATGACAGACCCTTTGCTGAAGGGAGAGTCTGGCCAGCATCTGGACACACAGACAAACACAGACGTTTAGGATGTTTTAGGAATTTCAGCTTTCATTAAAAGATAAATCACAGAACAGATTACAACACACCAACACAGCTTTATGGCAAACTCTTACCACCGAGTCCTCAATTCAATTCAAAGAGCCGGATGTCGGTCTGAGCCATCAACCTCGGGTCGGCCACCACTGGCCGCATAATCCTTGGGAACGAATGACCACCGAGTCCTCACGGTCCCTCTGGACCACGTGGCCACCGGGTGAAGACGGCAGAGCCGGTTGCAAACGAACGGCCTCCACCAGGCGGCTAACACTGGCCCAGTTTGCAGGGCCCGAGTTTAGTCCAAGAAGACAGCTGAAAGATAATCAGAGAGCAGTGTGTGTGAATATAGATCTGATATTCATTAGAGGAAACAGTGATATTTGAAGTGAAAATCACCTCTTGAGACTCTCCTTCCCAGGACAGGAGGTGTTCTTCCCCGTCGCTGCCTTGAACTGTCACCTGGGCTGCCTCTCCTGGTATCTGGAAGGGAAGACAACTCGCTATTCCTCCTGCTCTGTCTGGCAGGTGTTGCCAGGAGCTTAGAAGTAGTTGACACTGGCTTGAGGAAAAAGGTTTTGGATTAAAAATGAATTTTATATTTGCATGAAACGATAATACACATTATACTTAATCACAAGCTCTGAGACACACATGAACCTGGGATGAACTGGTTAAGGTGGAAGCCGGAAGGCTGACCCTGCCCTTTGTCAGTCTACCAGTCTCTGTGTACAGCTGCACACCTGGTGCAGAGAGAATCCAGCAAAGAGACGTCCAGGGTGACGTGGAGATCCTGGATGAGGAGGGCCGTCTCCTCTGCCCCATGTGTCCTCCTCCAACGGCAGAGCCTCCGCTCCTCCCAGGAGATCCTCTGGATCACCTTGGCACCAGTCAGGCCTAGCATCCCGCGCTTCCCCTCTAGCTGGGACTGCTATGCCTCAATGTGACAAGATGTGGCGTTATCAAACCAACACACCAACATCGGTAACCCAGGCAACTGTTTCAGAAGCAGCACCAGCGAGCTTCTTTGTCACCTGGAGGGAGAGAGGGAGAGAAGGAGAGAGAGAGGGAGAGAGAGAGAGAGGTTTCAAATGTTAATGTTAATATTTGTGTGTGATTTTAGTACACACACAGCAGTGGTGTGAAAGCACCTGTAAGAACATAAACTCTGCCTGAATTACACTTCATCCTAGAGAAACTCCCTGGTGGGAAGCACCTGTTGGGAAAGAATACTAGAGATGGCTGTTGGACAGATCAATCAGTTAGACATACAGTGCATTTAGAAAGTTCTCACTTTTTTACATTGAATTATTTTGAAGAATCTTATTCTTCAAAATCTTAATCTCTTAAATTCATTCATCAATGAACAATTCCAGCAAGATACCTGCTAATGGTAGCATTACTGAAAACGGGGGGCAACGCTATGTACTGTACGTGCACACATTGTTATTTTTACAAGTATAATTATTATTTTTACTATTTGTCATTATTATTACATACAATCACAAACAAAATGTCACGTTATATACACT